TTATTTATGAGGTGATTCCAGAAATCACAGTGGGGAATGTGAATTGGGAAAGGGAAGACATCTAACAAAGGGTGTGCTCATGAGTAGATCACTGCTGAGAGCAGATGGGGCTGAATCCCACAGGGACCACCTGTGAACCCAAGCGGATCATGCCTCAGAATAGTCTCCTCCTAGGAGAAAGAAGTTGAGCCATCTGTCCACCAACTCCCATCATCCACAGGTTGAGGACTGCCATGGGAGCATGGTTTTATTTCTATATTGCTGCATAGCAAATCTCAAACAAAGTAGCTTTAAATTATTTTTATAGAATCTCTCAAGATTCTGTGGATGGACTGCTGGGCCATTCTCACCCAGGGCCCCTTATTCAGTTATAGTCAGGTGATGGCTGGGGCTGTACTCACTTGAAGGTTTGACTGGGATTGGATGTCCCAGGTAGCTGGCTCCCAGGGCTGGCAGTTAATTCTGGCCATCAAGTGGGAGCACAGCTGGGACTGTCAACCAGAGTGCCTACATGTGGGCTCTCCATATGATTTGGGCTGAGTAATGAAATGGGCATAGTTTAGAGTCGGATTGCCTGGTTTTCATCTTCCCACTCACCTACCCACCCCCCAACACACACCCTTATTGCTCTGCAAATTACTACTTAACCCCTCTGAAGCACAGTATTAATATGACTGCCTTTTAGACCATGCCTTCTCGAATGCTCATAGTTTGATCCTCAGTTTCAGGTTTGAGCACGACATCCAGGTTCTCCCACCCACCCCATGGTGCCCCAAGATGGAACATAACCACCTGTGGCAGATTAGATTACTCTTCAGAAGTCTTCAATCCATCCACCTAATCTCCTTGGAAGGAATGTACTTCTGCCCCTTTACACTGGGCTTGGCCATGTGACTTGCTTGGCCAATAGGATGATGGCACACAGAACACAGAGACTGGAAATGTACTTGTGCATTTGGGCTCACACCTCTGCCATCACCTTGAGAAGAATTTTCCTGGAATAGCCCGCTGGTCCCAAGCGTTGGAGGCATGTGCCAAGGCCAGCCAAGATCAGCCCACCCACAAACACTCGAGGGAGCTCAGTCAAGATCAGCAAGCCACCCATCCATGCCCAGCCCTAATCAATCAAGCCCAGATGACTTCAGACATATGGGAGAGTCCAGCCAAGATCAGCAGAGCCACCCATCCACAATCAGCTGACCCTCAGCCAAACCCCCAGATGCATGGTGCTAAATAAATGT